GTTTTTTTTTTTTTTTTTTTTTTTTTTGGGAAAGCAATATATTGCGAAAGAAATCAATGGGACAAGGCCGGGGACCTCACAGTTCAACCCGGAGTTAACCTGGCAGCCTCAGCCAGTTTAGCTTACGAGCTAGCTCGATTATCCACAGTCTCTATAACAAGGAAAACTTCCTGATCAATCAACCGGACACCGGGTCCAATGTCCCATGAACCGCTAAGCCACTAGTGCCTTTGCCGCTTGGGAAAATAGAGGGCCTCGGGTGGGCCTCCGACCTTTTCGGATGGCCGAAACGAAAAGACCGCCGCGGATCAGATTTATCAATGGCAGCCGTGGTTGGGCCCGGCTTCCGAATTTTCAGGAGTTCGGGAAAACAGCCACTTTTCCCTAATTTCCCAACACTGGCGGAGGTACTAGTGGGGCAGAAAAAAAAAAGGGGGAGTTTAGGCAAAACTAACTCCTTGGCCCCTGGACAGTCTCTTGAAGATACCATAAAGAGGCTGGAAACCGGGTCCAGCATCCCATGCTCTATAATATCCAACAGGGCTTTTCAGCAGTTCAATACCAGTCAAAACAGATACTAGTCATCTGCAACAATCTCTCCCTTCAGGCTCTTGTAGCCCAATTATTGATATAGAAACGTCTCACTCAAGTTTACAGGGAACAGTCTTGAACAAAGAGAGACACAAAACACCCAACGAGGCCTAAAAAACGGCCCACTCCTTTTTCAGACTCCCTGGCCTAAAAACGGTGCATGCCCTCAGAAGGCGAGCAACTATCCGTGCTTTGAGCTCCTAGAGCCAATCTGCCAGTACCAGATTTCCTTCAGCGGACACCTTTGTAGCTTTTTTTTGCCCAAGTCCTACTAAACCACAGCCATCCTCTCCTACGCCAATCAACCCTAATAACTAATTTGATCTTCTGCTTGATGGTATTTAAAACCTGTTGATATGACAGGTCTTCCCCCTTAAAAACCTTCGCATTCCTCATTTCCCAAATGGCTTCCATCACTATACCTCAGAGCCATATACCAAGTGCCTGAGGCAAAGTTACTGCACATCTGGGTTTGTCCATGAAGTATAAAGTTATCGGTCCATATTTCAGGCCCCTGTAACCCCTTCCATTTCTCTTTCCACCATTCCCAGATGGTGTCAAAGAAAGGACAGCACAGCCACAGGTAAGTACTGTTTTCCCAACCCCAGCTGCATCTTACACAAGTTGAAGACATTTTCATTCCTTTAGAGACGCACTGTGACGCCCAACCTCACGCCCAGCGCGACTTCCTGATCGGAGTGGGATGGGGGCCCCAAGGATTTTAGGAAAGTGGGGGTGGAGTCCCAAGTCGGAACTGAGATCTCCGCTGGCAAGTTTTAGGGACAACGGTGCAAGATGGTATGCGAAGATCGTATCTTGCGTTTCCGCCTTCGGGGATAGGGCTATGGTCTCTGCAAGTTGCGCCGTCGCAGCTGGTCCCTTATCTGCTGGACCGGTGGGACACCGTGACTGTCGCACTGTTCGCACAGTTGTCGGCGCCACTCGTAACAAGCTTCGGAATCTGACGAGGCTGGCCGTAAGCGGAGGCTGTGTAATCGCTGCTCGGCTTCGGTTCCGGTTTGTCGGATAATCCCAAAGCCCGGTACGCCTGGTGCCGCTGGCACTCATCGCATGATGGGCGGGACCAGTAGCGAGCTATGGAATTCCACGGTACCACTGTGAGCTGGTGATATGGAAGAAGGAGGTGAAAGGGAGGGAAACTAGTGGTAATGACGACGAAGCCGGGGATATGTTATATTGCGTGTTATAAGTATCCGGGTAGTCGGGGCCCCTAGGATCCTTAGTTATGGCATACTGAAAGTCACTTGCGCACAATCGGTCGTTCTTTGTCAGACAGGGGAATTCCGGGTTTCTTAAGTTTCCCCACCGTCTGAGTTGTTCACCCTCCCAGTATTCGCGATATTCCAGGTCCCTCAGGCTCTCACGATCGGGGATTTACGAGGGAAATTCCACAGCCATATCCGCCTAGTGAACTCGGTCCCCTGCATCCTTATACTGAATTCGAGGTCGACTCATGCAGACGCGCGCGTACGCGGCGACCAGTGCCGGACCCGTGAACGTGACCGGCACCGGTCTCTTGAACGTGACCGGCCGGCGAAGAAAATTGCGACCCCTGGGAGGGGTATCCTCGCCGCTGACGAGAGCACGGGCACCATCGGGAAGAGACTGGCCAGCATCAACGTGGAGAATGTGGAATCCAACAGGAGGGCTCTGAGGGAGCTTCTCTTCACCACTAAAGAGTGGCGTTTTTTTTTTTTTTT